ACGCGAAGCTGGCTTGGGTGGACCAAAGTCTGGTGTGTCGTTCCAGGCAGGAATACTGCCTCTGTTGGCTGCTGGCACGATTGATGGCGAGTTTGAGAAGTTGCGTGGCGGAGGTGCGATTCCTTGTTGGGGCGCTGCGTTGTAACCATAGCCCTGAGGCTGAGATGGCTGGTAACCGACCGGTGTGTACGAGTTGCCTGGTGCTGCTGCTGGTGTGAATGTTGATGGTCCAGTGGGCTGGGCTTGCGAGGATAGGGGGTTAACTGGAGCATAAGGTGACGCTCTTGGTTGCGTTTGCATAGGGTTGACCGGAGCGTAGGGCGTCTGCTGGGGCGGTGCCGGTGTTGCTTGTGCAGGCTGTCCATACGACGGGACCACAACTTGACGACGACCAGCAGTGGTTGACTGGGCCTGTTTTTGTGCTGCCGCTGGCTGAGCTGCAACCTTCCTAGTGGCTTGCTTGACCCGGTTCCTGGCAACATCTGCAGCTGGGTACTTTTGAGGCAGGAGATCCAGATACTTCTCCGCAATTGCGAGCTGGCCGTGGGCAGATGCGATGTCAGCGTATTCAACGTACTTCGCGTACAACGGCTCGAGTTTCCAGTCGTCCTCCTTTTGCTGTTCGGCATCCTTGAAGTTGGTGACCTTTCGGAATACAGTGACCTTCTCGATGAACTCCTGTAAAGATCGTGCGTGGATAGAGAAACTGTTGTCGCCGTCGGTTTGCTCAATGCCCGCCTTCTCGCTTTCTTGGAGCTCCTGTGCCCAGTTGACAACGACCTTCTCAAGCTTGGAACCAGCCAAGTAACAGAAAGACGCATCTTTTCGGTACGTTCCTTCCTCTTCAGAAATGGCTTCTTCGAGACGGTCTCCGAGGGCCTCGCAAAGGTCGGGGAAGTCGGCCTGGTCGGCAAATGTGCAGATCGTGGCCATGACTTCCTTCCAGTCTTTGAGGTCAGCGTTGTATACGAAGTCCCATAGATTCTTTCCGACCACTGACGCAAGTAAGCGCAGGTAATTGGGTGCGTCAGACTGTCTCTTGAAGTATGCAGCCTGTGCCTTGGCGATGCACTTCTCCCCACCGCAAATGGCAATCATGAAAGCATCTGACAGTCGGTTCTCCTTTAGGCACACGTCCAACGCCGCGTTGAAGTCACCAAGCATGAGGTTGCGGGTAATCTTGGTGTCGGCTTCCGACTCGGAACCAGTGTATATCTGGAAGGGGTTGTTGGTCTTCGCGCCCTTGGAAGCCGCGAGATCGGACAAGAAGTTGCCCTCGTCTGTCGCATTGTCGAAGAACGAGGACCCCTCGTCCGCATCGCCATTTGTCTTCTCCTCCTTCTTCTCTTCTTCTGGCTCTTCATCCTTGTCGGAGAAGCCCAGGTACTCGACAAGCTTGCTTCGCGGGTTCTCCGACGTAAGAGTCTCGATTACAGTCCAGTCGGCCTTCTCTTCCTCGTTGGCTGCCTTTGAAATCTTCGACTCGCAGATTGCCGTAATGTCGCCCTTGTCTAGAGCCTTGTCGAACTCCTCGCTCGCTGCACTGACGTCCGAGTCTACAGCGAATGTGGAAATGGAGATCTTGGACTTGTTATCGACGATGCCGAATCGCACCAGCTTTCCACCAAAGCCAAAAGCCACACCTGCTCGCCTCTTCAGCCACTTCGGGGGTGTCTTCAATGAGAAAGATGCGCCCTGGGGTTCTGCGTGGGTCTGAGCGAAGAAGTCCTCGCCGGCAGGCGCTTCCGTCGCCGCCTTGTTCTGGTCCGCGCCAGCCCCAGTGTTTTGTAGTGTTTGAACTGCGATCTTTCCGTCGAAGGATGCGGTCGCGAGGAGGTTCGGGTTCGAAGGGTTGAATCTGGTCTGGAAGGTCCAGTTTGTCACGACTGGGAACTCGCCCAGTTGCTCGCCGGTGTGCGGGTTCCACGCAATCGTCCTGTTGTCCTTGCCGCAAGACAACAAAAGGTCGCTGTCTTGAACACACCACGAAAGCGACAGCACGCCCTGGTCGTGTGCCTGCAGCGTCTTCTCTGGCGCATTGGTGTTGCGGAGGTCCCATACCAGCACGAGCGGGTTCTGGTCGGTCGGGATAGCGGTAACGAGTCTCGTGGGCACATTGGGGTCCCAGGAAACCGCGCTGACTGTTTTCCGTCCATAGTGGTTTAATGTGAGGTTCTCCTTCTTGAGCTTGACGTCCCAGACGGTGACAAAGCCGCCGCTGCTGCCGGTTGCCAGGATATGCGCAACCTTCTTGTTCCAGTCCAGTGTAGTGTATTCGTCGGGGTTCGCTCCAGCCTTGCCGAGGCGGAAGGACTTGGAGTCGTCGGCGAGGTCGTGGACGTAGAGTTCGCCCTTGGCACCGGCCGAGGCGAGGATGTTGGATCGGAAGGGGTTGAACTGTATCGCCTGGATGGGGCCGGTGTGCTTGTCGATCTGGTCAATTTCCGCATCGTCGCTGCATAACGTCAGCACTCTGTGGTTGCATGCAGCTGTCCATGCGCTCTGACCCTTCGCCTGCCTGCAGCTTCTCTGCGTCCCATAGCACGAGTGCCCCGCTGTCGAGTGCGCCCGCTATTATGCCCCGCGGGTACTGTTCGCTGGGTTGACTCCACGCAATGTCGTTGAACCTGGCATGACGTTTAGTTCTTTGGTCCCAATGGATTAGAAATATCCTCTAGTACCTCGACTCTACGCTCACAGTAGCAACGGGCTTGAGTTCGACACCCTGCTCGCTGTCGTCCAACTTGAGCTCCCAGAGCTCTAATTGTGTTTCATTTGAAAAGTCGGCATCTACAGCCCCAGCCTTGGTTCCGGTAGCAATAAGGGGCTGCGTCGGGCCTGGCGACCAGGCGAAACAGGCGGTCCGGGGGATTTCTCGTAGGCGGACCATGACGGTGTTGGGCGGTGATGGCGCCTCGGTGTCAGATTAGCGAATTGGGGAATACGGCACGAACAAAATGATGGACAAGGGAGCGAGTTTTGTAGAGGGCGACGAGAGGGTTATGTGGTGTCAACGAGAGTCCGCAATGTGTCTTGAGCGCGGACTGGGAGTTGAGGCAACGACGTGCTTCACCAGGACCATCCACCTGTCCTTCCCTGGTCCATGGCGGGCGCGCCAGCCAAGGTGGGTCCCGCTAACCACGTGATATCGAATTTCAGCGCGCAATCAAGAGAACACGACCATCCTACCACCCAAGTCGCAAATCGCAATCCACAGGCAACCATGTCGAATTTATCAGACACGTCACGACTAAAGGCCACCGTGTTCGTCGGCGGCCTCGACCAGGCAGTCACCCAGCAGACGCTTTTCCACGCCTTCCTGCCTTTTGGCGACATTGTCGAAGTCAACTTGCCCAAACCGGAGAACCAGAGCCAGGGCGATCAACATCGGGGGTTCGGCTATGTTGAGTTTGAGACTGCGACCGACGCGACCGACGCCATCGACAACATGGACCGGAGCGAGCTGTACGGTTCTGTCATCAAGGTAGCAGCAGCCAAGCCACAGAAAGACGCGAATGAAGGTCTAGGCAGCAAGACCGCCATCTGGGAGCAGGTACGTTTCTTTTAATCTGAAAAATTACACGTCTGGTATGCTGACAAAACGCAGGAGGGCTGGTTGGCCAAGCATGCCGTGAGTGAGGAGGATCGCAAAGCAAGTGAGCAGATTCAAGAGGAGGCGAACGGGCCCATGGACCCTATGCAGGGCCTGGAGGGTCTTGACGAGGCTGGACCGAAGCCAGTGTAATCTCTTTGGTTCTTTGGTCTCATAGCATGGCGTTTGCAGGCGTTTGGGAAACATTTGATACCAAGTGCTGTCTCGTGCATATCAGGTTACGAGCCGCATATCACCATTATAATTCAAGAAGCGCGACATAAATCACTGGTGCTCTGCCTCGTACATCGCCATGTCAGCTGCAATATCAAAGGCACGATTCAAGATGTCTCGTGTTTATCAGATTCAAATTCAAACCCACGACACAACACAAAGGGATCTCATGCTTGATTATCGAACGTGACTCGGACTCTATCCCGTATGCTGTACCTATACACAATGGCTGCTGGAGCCCTTCCAAGCCCGCCGATTCCATCTCTCCTGTATCCTATTCCTCACCAACTGGACATCTAGTCCTGCTTGCCCTGTCGCTTGAGACGGAGCGTCTTGTCGACCCAGAGTTTCCGGGTGATGGAGAAGAAGGCCATGCCGACGGCGATGCTGTAGATGTATTAGACTACGTGTTATGAGGGTGTATGTGAGGGTATATGCGGGCGCAATGGAGGGGCTTACGCGAGGACGACGACTAGAGTTTGGGTCAGCCAAGGGGGAGAGTAGTTACTGGGGAGGGGGTAGACGTACTCAGAGGCCAGATCTCAGTGGGGATGTTCTTGAGCTGGCGGATGCGCTGGGATACGGTGTGGGCTACATGGTCAATCGTCAATTCATGTTCGATGGCATAAAGTGGATGCTGTGATTGGCTTACCGCCGTGCTCCTCCTTCTGCAGTATAGTCAGCATCAAGTTCCCAGAAGATGGAAGGCGGCGAGGCATACGGGGACGGGGTTGCGCAGGCCCATTGTCTGCCTCATCATGAGCTGGGGGCTCTGGCGCATGGCCATCATGCGCGTAGGTTGCATGGCCGCCATGCGTGTTGGCTGCATGGCCAACATACGAGTTGGCTGCATGGAGAGGGCGCGGGTGGCTTTGAACATGGTGGCGGTATTGCTGACTTCGCAATTGGGGTGGGGAGAAGTTCGTAGACGTTGTCGTGGGGGATCGAAGGACGTCTTCCGGGGCTTTCGTCACAGTGAGGCACGCAGATGCTGAGAGAGCTCGCGGGCCCTGTCGCCCGGAAAACGCCGAGCGAATTGTGTGTGGACAATGCGTTTCGGGTCGAACCATCGCAACCTCACAACTTCACTTCCGTCACCACTTCGACTGCACACGCCCGCCTGCCATTGCCGCCACGCCCACGCCCGAACCACGCCCAATCCCCCATCGCAATCATGTCTGACAACGAGAACGGCGAGAACGGCGACGAGCTCGTAACCAAGCCCTTCAAGTTTGTCACTGGTGAGCTTTTCCCGCACCTCCGCATGTCGAGCTTCAATCGCTAATCTGCCGCCGCACAGCTGGTACGCCTTCCCCGGACTTGCTCTGCGCCCTGCACCGCCTGCCAAAATGACGCCTGGAGCTTGAGATGGGCCGTATTGGGTGCTAACATGCTTCGGCGCATATAGGCTTCGATGCCCGCTTCCCCAACCAGAACCAGACCAAGCACTGCTGGCAAAACTACGTCGACTACCACAAGTGCATCATCGCCAAGGGCGAGGACTTTGCTCCCTGCCGCCAGGTGCGTACCCTGGAAACGTCGCATTGAAGATGGGCATGTATACTGATGGATATAGTTCATGTTGGCCTACAAGTCCCTGTGCCCCAGCGGCTGGACATCGCGATGGGACGACCAGCGTGGTGAGTATCTGATTCTGAACCATCTGTCCGCATGCGCGACGGACTTTGAAAGAGCTATAGCTAACACAAGATATAGAGGCTGGCAACTTCCCCGTAAAGCTCGACCAGTAGAAAGCTCGCGACAACACCCAGCATGCGACAGTTTCTTAGAGCAGGACAGGATCGGATCAGAGTGGCATTTGCAACTTAGAGCCCTGTATCATAGCGATCGATATCAGCAATGCGACTCTGGTCTATCTACTTTGCCACCCTCCTGCACCGCTACCTCGTGATGTCATGACCCCCTTCGCGTGACACCATTAGTCTTCCCGTCGTTTGTCTAGTCCTGCATATCTCCTGCATATCGTAGACACCGTCGTACGACGTATGCGGACCTGATGTTTCAGAACTCGCCATATAAACTTCATCACATGCATATGCACGCCGATCGAACCAAGTCTCCTAGTGTCATACATTATCATTCAGAGTGTGCTCGATATACGAGATATGTAGTGAGTGTAGCCAATTTGCAGTAAAGTTGGGACTTTCTATCCTGTACAGATAAGGGGATGATGGTGAATCGCCGCTGGTGTGCAAAAATAACGCTAAGGTGACAAAGGGACCAAAGGGACCAAGAGGAACAAAGTGACCGCCCAGTTGCGCCGCAAGGCCAGACCGCTAAATGCATGCAAGACCTGCTCTGCTATAAACAATCGTGAAGAACTCAGGCGTTATCGAGCCGAGTAGATAAGGCTGTGTGGTTAGATTTGGGGTATCGAACGAGGAGAAAGAGGCTAGTTCGCGGACGGATATGCGTTCACTGCGAAATTGCCGAGATACTTCGGTCCTCTACATGCCCGCAGCGAGCATGTGGGCAGAGGGATCCAGGACTGATACGGCTCAGTGCCCAGTATAATCTCATGACCCTCACATTGAAACCGCTTGAGAGCCCAATTCGGATCGTCAGTCCGTAGGTCCTGCTCCTCCTCTTCCTCTTCCTCGGGAATAGCAGCATTCGCGTCGTCGCCATGAGCGCTATCCTTGCGCCAGTGCTTTCCCTGGTCCAACACCTCACCAATACTAGACAGCGAATCCGGCGCTGCCGCAGCTGGCTGGTAACTTGCGTCGTAAAGCTCGCGAGTATTCGGGTCCATGAGGCAGTCGAAGCCAGTCTGTAGCGCACGGTACTTCTTCGCGTCGTTGGCAAAGTACACAGAACGCAGACGGCGGTACGCAGCTCTAATCTCGTCGGTGGAGGCCTTGGGTGTGAGTTCGAGGATAGCGTAGTGATCGACGACCTCGGAGGGGTCGTTCGTCGGTGAGGACATGGCTGGGCTTTTGAGAGTATAGCATCCGTTTGAGACGTATATCGAGGCCCTTTTTGCGTGCTGCGCCATGACGGAGTTGTCTGCTACACTGATGGGCCGCGGGCGTTGGATAGCTTCAGACTGGTTGCGCCCGTGGTTGTTGAAGCGTTTGCGCGGAGAGGGCGATCGCAGTGGGCTGAAATTTATCTTGCACATTTGCTCGGAAGGAGGTTGAAAGCTGGGAGTCGGAGACATTGTGGTGTATGTGTGGGTGGTCATTATGTACTAGCAATAGCAAGGTGGGTGGGTGCGTCGTGTGGTAATGATAGAGGATGTGCTATGTGGAGTTGGGTGGGCGCTGTTCAAAGTAGAAATGCTGTTGTTGTGTGAAGACGCAGTGTGGGAAAACATTGAATGATCAGGACATGTCCTAGACCACATGGACAGGGCAGCATGGTGGCTGCGCACAATGCAGGGGATAGGTGCAATCACAGGGGGGCACAGCAAGTGGAGCTCTAGGCCGAATCGCGAAATGAAGATGTTGTGAATGGAGTAATTAATCAAACAACGGGCTAGGGGGGTCGGCGCGATGAAACAGAATGCAGCAGACCAATGCCAAAGGGTCCAGCGCGGCACTGGTAGGCTGTCAGTGCTTCGGCGTAACACGTGCGGACGTGACGAATGACTCCGCGCTAGTAGGCCCGTTGGTGTGGAGATCTCGCTAAGATTTCAGTCGCCGCGACCGTTGGCCCAGTGAGCTTGAGATAGCATAGCATAAGCTGATAGACGTCCCACCATGGCCGATAGCTCGAGGAAGAGAAAGCAGCCTGCCAACACGGGCCCCGGTAATCCTGTTAAACGCACCAGATTCCAGCAACGACCCCAGTACGTCATCCCCGCGGTTTCGACTAGCAACGCGTACCCCAATGGCGAGATCAACGTCAAGAACTTTCTCAAGTCGCACGAGAATGAGATCAGGTCGCTCGAGGGCGCCATGAAGGCGGCCAAGAAAGGGCTCTCGCGACGGGCTTTTCAAGATGTGCCACGGGAGTTGAGGAGGAGGACCGCAAGTCACAATCCGCAGCGCGTGCCAAAGAGATTGCGGGTCAGGGCGCGGCAGGAAGCTAAAGAAGACAACACGCCCATTGCCAGAGGTACTAGTGGGAGCGGTGTTGGGAAAGGCAAGAAGAAGTTTTTGAGGAAGGAGGGGAGGGAGCAGAGTAGGCAGAAGGCGAAGAAGAGGAAGGACGGCAGTGGAAAAGACGACGATGGAGACGCGAAGATGGAGGATGCGCCGAAGCAAGTCACGAAGCCCTCACCACCGAAGCTGAAGCGCAAGTTCCCACCCCTGGCCACGCCCGCTACCCCTCCATCGCGATTCCGCAGACGCCAGCGAGACAAGACATGGCTTCCTACGCATCTGTGGCATACCAAGCGCGCAAAAATGACGGATCCGAAAGAGCCTCTCTGGCGGTTTGCGATACCGTTGCAGCCAGCGGTCAAGGCATACCGTCTCACACACAGAGCTGCAACCCAGCAGGGAGCTGTCGCGTGGGATATGAGCTACATGTCAACCCTCAGCCTGGAGGGTCCTGAAGCTAGTATAGCGGGGCTACTCAAGGGTCTGCACTTCTCTGCAGAGGACACAGATGATCCATGGCAGAACAGAGGCAGGGCTAAGAAGTGGCGGAACGGCACTAGGACCTGGGAAGGCTGGATATACGAAAGAGAAGCGAAGCCGTTGGTGAAGATCGCTCGGGTGACTGTGATCTGGTGTACACCGCATGCCGATGGCAAAAAGACGCAGGCTCTCATTCGGGTGCATCCGGGCGCTTTCTTGCAGCTCTGGGAGGAAGTTGTTCGCACGGCTAAAGTGCAGAAGCCAGCTGTTACCGTGCGAGATCTCCGCTTCGAAATTGGGTCTATCGAGATTGTAGGCCCGGCTGCTGCGGAGGCTCTCTGCTCTGTTCTTGCCCCGGTGGCTTCTCCTGAGGCTGGCTCTGATACTCCCCAGTCACTATGGCCGACTTTGGCCTCTGTGACGGACGCTGCATCGTTACCAGCCGGTGCGCTGTTGTCGTTTGATATTTCAGATCCCCGACTTCGCGATCCTCCTCGCACTTCGCCGGTAGCACACGATCAGCAGTCGCTGACCGCCTTGACTGAAACTCTCGCAACTTGGCCAATCGACAATACCCTCACTGCAGCCTCAATCTTCGACACCAACAGCCGGCTAGCCGCACAGCGAACCATGCCATCTCAAAAGTCAATCAATCGCCGGAAGGGTGCATGCACACTTGGCGAGGACCCTGAGGCCCGATCCACAGACCCACGCATTCCGACACTTGTATTTGTGTCACGAGAAAGCAAGTCCTGGACTATCCTCCTCCCCTGGAAATGCGTGATGCCTGTATGGCGACAGATTATGCGCTACCCGGTTTCCACAGGCGGCAACCCCAGATTCGGCGGCTTGAAAGAGAGACGTCAGGTTGACTTTGAGCGCTCGAAGCCACACTTCCCGTACGACCATCCTGGTACAGAGGCTGGTTGGGTCTGGGAAGAGCGTGAGCGTGAAGTGAGGAAGCACGAGTGGACGAAGCGTCCGAAGGGGAAGAGGATTGAATGGTCGACTATTGATCTTGGTAAGGGTAGGAAGGGCGAGATTGGAGATCCGTGGTCTTGCGACTGGCAGAGATTGATTGCAGATGTGTCTTCATGTCAAGAATCTCGAACTCCTGTCAGACAGCTCTCGTTCAGACAAGCAGCTGGTATGGTTGACGGCACGGCTTCGTCGAGCGGCTCGTTGTTGCCATCAGATGTATTCACGGTCAAGATCACGATGGTCCAACGAGGCACCCCTACAGACTGCGCTCGCATCTACCGTCTGCCTAGCGACCCACAACTCCGTGGGCAATGGCTAGCCCAGCTGCCACAACCCGGCACGAAGCGTACGTCGACGAAGCAACAGAGTCGAGTTGTCGTTAAGCAGCCAGACCATATCCAGCGCAGGGATCTTGCAAGGAGTCTCCTAGACAACGGCCCACCGAGCGCTGGCGAGGAGAATTACCCTCTAGTGCCTGACGAAGTGGATCTAATCGGCTTCGTCACAACGGGCAACTACAACCTCGCAGAGGGCATGCCGACTGCGGTTGCGAATCTGGTAATGCACAAGGTGGTCGCCCCTGGGTCTGACTCGGGCGTGCCAAAAGCGGATCGCGTGTGCATTGTGCGACAGGCGGGAAGTACCATCGGCAGGCTGGCGAGATGGGAGGTAGTCTAGGTAGCCAAGATAGGCGTGGATAGATGCTCTGAATGATACCCATTGCTTGTAGTCACACTTATGCATCAGTGGAGACGTGCAGCTCCACCGCAGATTCTTGGGCGAACACGCAGTTCTCGGTGTGTGGGTGGGTGTGTGGGGTAGGCCAACTCTGGCTGCATGCGCTAAATCGGAGCCGGAGCAGGGATGCGCGATATCTCCCGTCGTGGCCGCTAACGTCTCAGCAACCATTTCTCCACGCCCTGAACACTCCCGTCCACCACGCCCAGCTGCGTCATGTCTGAGGACCGCCCGGCAGACGACCAGGCCGAGGGCGTCGACGCTGCCGTCGGCCTGCCCTCGGACGCGCTGGCAGAATTGGTACGCCTGTCCGCCGCAAACCGCCTCCTCGGCTACTAATAATCGTGTCGCAGACTACCAACATCCTCGACGACTTGCTGAGCAACATCGTCTTCACCACGGCCCTGTCGTGCCACCGCTCCGAGAAGCTGCTCCGCATGCAGTCGGCGGCTACTCAGGCCGAATCCATCGCCCTCGCCAACCTC